ATTTCAATGTGTAGTGTGATGAGAAAAGTGCTCACGTTGTGCAGTTTGCTGCTGTATAAATTGAGTGTTGATAATATGCTTTGATTGTTTGAAGTAGTTGTGCTTTAATTTTGCCTGCTTCCTCCTCCCCAGAGGTGCCTGCTGAGACCCTCAGATAGGACAGTGTCTCCACACTCTTGTTCAAAGCCTCTCTTGGTGAAACTGGCTAATTGACCAAGTAGATTGACTCATTTAAAATATTTAACACTAAGACTCTGACTGGGTCTGTGGCTAAGGATCTGCACCTATGGCTGGAAGGTTTGCAGGTTCGTATCCCACGGCCGGCAGAGGAATCCTACTCCTTTGGGCCCCTGAGCAAGACCCTTAACCCCAACTGCTCCAGGGGCGCTGTACAATAGCTGACCCTGCGCTCTGACCCCAAGCTTCTCTCTCTGTCTGTGTCTCATGGAGAACAAGTTGGGGTATGCGAAAAAGACAAATTCCTAATACAAGAAATTGTATAGGGCTAATAAAGTGATCTTATCTTATCTTCATTTCATTACAGCCATGGGGGAAATCTGAATCTCAGATTAATAGAAAATATATCACATCACATTATCATAAGAGATTCTCTCACCGTATAGATATATTTGCACACTCACTAACAATGCTGTTCTGATAAGGTCTATATGGCATAGGCTACCCATATAATGTCATCACCACTCCACTTTAAGGGATACTTTAGATTAAATGTATTGTGTGTTTGGGATTTTTCTTTATCATTTTGGATATATTTTCCTCTGCAGTATTTCTCCATTTGAAAATACATCAATTGATTAATTGATTTAATTAAAATGAACTTTAAAATGCAACTGAATGTTATACAGAAATGCATTCAATCAGAGATCTTGAGTGATCTGGCATAAATAAATGCTTGATTTTGCAAGTAGCTGGGAGTTGCAGACATGAACTTAATTGAACTTAATAGTTTCAGTTATTCTCTTCAGAAGGAAGGCAGGAAAAACAACCAAGCTATGATGCAAATACCAGCAAGTGATATTGTGCACTGTAAGATTAACATCATGTCTTGAAGATCTGTAGTGTTCCATATTACTGTTTGCACCATCACTGTACTTAAATGCAGACCTGATTCACACCTTGAAATGAAATTGGAAGTTTAATATTGCTTTATGGCTCCGCTGTTTGTCAGCGTGCAGGTTGATGATAATGGCTTCAAGCCTGGGTCATCTCACTAGCTGACTGTGACAGAGATTCATCAAGTGGGGAACACAACTGGATGAGTGCTGCCAAGATTAGGGTGGGTTTGGTCAGCCAGGGTTCTTCTTGCTCTCAGCCACACTGACCACTGCAACCTCCTGCATGGTTCGTGGAAAGCAGTGCTGTCGGTGATGGATGAACCTCCCCTCAAATCGGCACTGAAGATCTGATATGGGACTGTGTTGTCCGTTACACCTTAAAAGACAAATAGCTTGAATATGTTAGGGTTGTTGCCTGCACATCCTCATTTCTTCTCTCTTATGTCATGAGGATTATAGCTGAGATGTGAAAAACAGTTTGTTATTCCAAATCGGAAGGATTTAACAAAAATAATTTCAAAATTCAAAACAACACATTGCACCATTGCACGTTAAATATGCTTCATGCATGTTAAGTATTAAATAATGGTAATTGTTGTTACTTGAAGAATTATAGTTACAAATTTAAAGACCACATGGTGTGTACTCTATGATAGGTTGCTCTTCACTAGGGTTCTTTCATGTGCTGCATACATTTCAGTTAAACTTGCATACCTGTGAAACTTTTGTTCTCTCAGTGCGACCCCACTTTGAGATGACATCCAGGAAGAAGCAGATTATTCTTAATATGTGCCAGATTGGATGTATTGTAAACAGGCATGTATTCATGAGCAGACACCTGTGATCGAACAAGCTTCTGTAACCCAAATTAATGCTATTAACAGCACAATCGCACAAGTGCTGACAGGGGATTTGGACCCTCTCAATAAAGCACTGTGAGATAAGAGACAGGATTCCAAAACCCTAGGTGAAAGTGATTGAAAATCTCACTGTTGTGTCGCTGCACTGAAAGCGGAACTATCAGGCATCATTGTCTCTGAATTGATGACATTCCAGGACAAATTAAATAATCTTAACCTACCTAAAGACTTTTCTGTCAAAAGTCTGTATTTCTTGATTTGTCCTGTAGTGTCGAAGATCTCATATGGAGAGGAGTTGTTTTTTAACTTGAGCCTGAGCCCCCAGGAGGGCTGTCCTTCATGATCCAGTTTGCATGGATGACAGTCCTGCTGCTGAGACTTAGAATGATGCTGTTTGACCTCCCACAGAATGTGTCTCTCGGAGACGTTGAGAAACTTGAAGGTTGGATTTGTATCTTTCGCTTATTTTCTGTGTCTTTCTGTTCTGCAGTTGTATCACTGTTAAATGTAGAATTAAATGACAATTGTGCAGTGCATGAGTAAGATCTTATTTAAATATTGTATATAATTTCAGTGTTCCATAACTGTTTTTTGTCTTCAGGATTTTTTAATGACCAGAACAGTGTACTTGCACTTGTTGAATAGTTGATTACTTTTCTACTTACATTAGGTTTATGCTATTTTTCATTTTTTCATTTTATTTTATTTTAATCTACTCATCTGGAATATCCGTGGTTTTAAACTATGCTTTTATAATTGTTGGATGTCGATGTCTTTATATTTTATGCAAAATGAAAATTGATCTTGCCATAATACAGGAAATCTCACCTTACACAAAGTCTTAATACTTTGTAACTGCTGCATCTTGTGCAAACAAAATGTCATGGAGCTCATGATCCTAGTATGCTACACCTCTTTTAACTGTCCAGGAAGAACAGGTTGTATTTTCAGAAAGACATTTGTTCCAGTTTGTGCGCTGGTAGTATATGACTCAAACTTTTTTTTTTAGTTTATAATCGTAAATTCTTTTTTAGACATTTTATCTGGAAACTATAGAATCTTAGTGAATGCTACATCCTCTGTGTTGTAGTACAAAGACTTACAGTTGACCTTGGTTTACTCTTGGGTGTTTTTTATACTCTTTGCCTAATGATTTTACCCTTTTCCCCTCTAGGTATAAATAATGTTCCAGGATTGAATTTATCTTCAATTTAAATTCTCAAAATCTCTTTTTGTTCAGTCACATTGTTAATTTTCTCTTTCACATCATAATATGGTGTTGTCTCTTCCTCCTTATTTGTGCTTTTTTTGCAGTGGTGTTTTAGTACTATTCTACTACAGTCCAATCTTGTGACATTTTGCACTTTGAAATGTGCTTCAGCGGTTGACCCCCTTATGTTTTGGGGATGCAGTAAAAGACCATATTCATATCACTACTACATTGCTTCCCTTTAATTTTAATAAGCTTTGTTTGCACAAAAATATCCTGGAATCTGATTAAGCTTTCCTTGAGCATACACAGGAAAGATCTCTCTCTGAAACCATTGTGCTCACACTCCATATGACTTGGAGAGTCGTCAACACTGTTATTTCTATGGCACTGACAAGGCATTAGAGTTACTGTCTATCTCTAATATTCCATAATAATGAAAGCTGTGCATATATTCTTGCTAATAAAGCACAAGTGGTGACAGTCCCTGACCCACTTTTAATTAATTCTGAAGATTGCTTCTTTTATTTATAATTGTATAGCTCTGACATTTCACATGATAGTGGTAATTGATAACAGTTTCTTGAAGGCCACTGTCTGCCACATGTCTCAGGGACTGAATCATTTGTTTAGAGTCCCTTATCTTGCTGATCAAGTTTAAAAGAAGAATTGCAGAATATGAACAGAGGTCTGCATCTATGTCCCGGTAACTATGGCATACTTTGAGTTACTTTTTGCTTTCTGTGTTCAACCGATACACTTACTACTTTAGATGGAAATAAACCGCATTACAGAGGGGTTTATTTACTAGTGGATTTTAATATTCTATTATGCTTTATTTTCCAAAAAGAAAAGAACCCCAAGCATTTCAAGCTAGTAATAGAAGTCCCAGTATCAAACTCCAAGGTGTTGGTGCATATTGTATGAACAGGTACATTTTTCTTGCAAAATGACTACTTTGTTTTATGACTCTGTGTAGAATAATTTGTTGTGCTTCCTTGATCATGATCACCTGATGATTAATTTTTATTCAAATAATTTATTTAAGACCCTGGGGAAGGTGTCTAGTGAACATTTCTGCCACCCATTTGTATGGTGTACTGTATGCCCACAGAGATCAAGTGGTACATTTTTTCATATGGTGTGAGTATATTTTTGACAGATGTGGGAGTAGTTTAGTTCAGCTTTACTTATGGGTCTTACAAAACATATTCCTTGAGCTCCTCTTCTGTTGTTGCTGAATGATTCTGATTTTGATTTGTATGTGCAACAGACATTGTTGGTGCTTGCTGGTATTATGGCTGCTAAGATGATAATCACTCAGGTCTATGGGGGGTACTTGACTGGCCTCTGAAGCAGCAGTGTACTCCATTAAAATATTATTAAATTCATCTGTTATTTTATGATGCTTTGTGGGATGAGGTGGGAGTCAGTTTTACCAGCAGCTCCTGGGTCCTGAGGAAATGGGTAAAATGGTAAAATAAAATGGTGTTATTGAGTTGTTCCTTTCCCACTATATGGAGAAAAAAAGATAATGACATAATTTCATCAGTCTTAATGTGTAATATAATTGTAATGTTAAAATTCATTTAAAAATTATATAAACCATGATATTTATGTAAATAAACATATTCCTTCATATAGTCATATTTTGTTTAAACATGTTGGATTTATAAAATATGTGCACATTGTATTCTGAGAAGGTTATCAAAGATGTCCTTCAAATGCTGTTTTCAAGTGGGCCCGTACTGTCTGTTTTTGATAAAGAACCATGAGCAACATGTTTCTGCTGTGTGTACTGTTGAGATACGGTACATGCAGGTTCAACAGTTTCTTTTTGTGTTCTGTGTTCAGACTGTCGAGAAATTCTGCTGCCTCTAATGACAGACCAGCTGAAGTTTCACCTGGAGAAGCAGGAAGAGCTGGAGGCCTGCTGCCAGTTGCTCAGTTACATCCTGGAAGTTCTCTACAGGAAGAATGTGGTTAGTGCATCAGACTTTGGTCATAATCAGTGCCGCTGCCATTGTGATCTCTCCCTGTGCAAGCCTGGTTGAAACAGGACTTTGTGCTGTTTTATTTTTAAATAAGACCTCTTTAGTAAACCTTATACATTAAGTTCCGTCTTGCATATTAAAAACTTTTACTGAACTTGGAATTACTGGTACAAGCAGCCTTAGTGTTCTCTCAATGACTAAACTGATATGTACAAGGATATTTCTTACAAATTAATACTGTTAAAAAACTGTTATTGTGAAAAGTCACAAAGCAAAGAATTGACAGTGCCCCACCATACAAGGTTTAGTTTTTGTAGGTATTTCCATTACCTTCATTATTCCCATTATCTTCTGGATGTTTTGATTTTTGTCCTTCAGCTGTCAGGAACACTCGCACAGATATTCAAAAGCAGGGTTGAGTGAACAGTATTGTCGCATCCTAGTCACGGTCCTGTTGTCCTGAATAGTTTTTACTTTTAGTTTGCAAACTGTTTACCTTTCTCAAGCAGCCATTTTTTTATTGGAATTGTTTAAGAAGTTGCCAAATGCAGGAAAATAGAAATAAAAGGGATTTGTGCCAATATAATCATAATCTTGTAAATAATGTTCTACAGATATTGATTTCTCATGTATGATCTAGACTGATGGACCTCAGTCTAATATTTATATACAAAGCTTTTTTCACCTTCTGGGACAGGATTATTTTCTGCCAAGTGCATCAATCTGTGTGCTTGTGTAATTAGTGTCTGTAATGAAGTGACTGTTGGAATCCTCTCCCTTTATATTATCTTGTGTATTTCAGGATAGTAGAAAATTCAATACAAATGTTGCAGTGTATCTTTGCATTCTGCACCATTTGTGCCTCTTTTAAGAACACAGTATATTAATAATATTAAGGCCCCCTTTTCAATCAAAAAGAGATGAAAGCTTTATACTTGCAGTTTCAGAATTATTATGCAAAATATTTGCATGTTATATACGTGACACTTTTAATATCCTGCTCAAAAGCTTTTTAGCTTCTCGAGTCTACTCGGGTGGAGATTGAGATCTAAGACCTGAATGTTTTCTATTTATTTTTTTTCCTTTGAAATGAAAGAGTTCTCAAGTTTGGGAATTTTCAGTGTTTTTTATACATGAAAGATCTTGCCTTTCTTTGCCATATGGGTAGTTGTCATATGTGTGCTAGAGATCTGGAGTAGAGTTTTCTTTAAGAGGTTCGGAATAGTATGAGTTGTGGTCCATAAAGATGAGATGTGGAGTTTCCTGGAGAAGTTACTGAAATAAAATTCAATGTGAACATGAATTATTGAGGTTTGGGAAGAAGCTGTCCTTCTTCTGAGCTCATTGAAATAAATTTACTCGTCATTCAGTGTTCAATCTTTGCCCTGTTAATAGCAGTGTATCCAGGACAGCTCTGCATAATAGTAATGGAAGATCTCTGTGGAATTCTTTGAGTCTTGCCAGGTACACTAAATATTGTATGATTTATTTCAGTGGCTTTGGTTTTAGGGATGTCTGTAGGAAGCATAGATAGAATATGAAGATGTAGAAGAAAAAATATGGGTTTGGGCAAAGTTCCAATAGCTGAGAAGAATCATCTTTAATATCATGCCTAAAAAATGGTTAAGATTTAAAATACTATGAGATCAGTCTTACTAACATTGCAAAAAATAATGTCTGATTTCCCCAGGGTCTTCCAGTGCTTTAAATTTCGCTGGTGTTTATTGATTAAGATACAGATTAATTTGTACCATTCTACTTTTTTGTTATAATTTAATGTTAAAATCAAAATGAAGTCAGTAGCTTGAAATTTCATATAGTAAATTAATAATTTAGGCTGTGTTTTCAGTAGTTATGTAGCTGCTCAGACAGGAAAATGTTACACTAGCCTATTGAGTTTGCTTCGCCATGCTTCTGAAAATTTCAAGATCAGTTTTGTTTTTTTAATGAATTTGTGCTTAGAGAAGGTAAGTGCTTTATTTTTTGGAATGAAAATTGAATTAATAACATTCATAAATATTGAGCTTACCAGGACCCTTTTTTCTAATTTTTGTTCTCTCTCCTTCTCACTCCATATTTAACAATTTCTCCAGGGTCCCACACAGTGGCATGTCCAGATCATTATGGAGAAGTTATTGAGGACCGTAAACAGAACAGTCATCTCCATGGGGCGAGACTCAGAGCTTATTGTAAGTGTCTCTCAATATCAGCTAGAAAAAAAAATCTTTATCACAACTGGCTGCGACTTGCTGAATCTTCAATAACTGGATTTTAAATCCCAGGTGGTGAAAAGCAATCAAAATCTTGTTTAAATCTACTTCATGTGCTCACTGAGCTATTCTCTGAAGATTTGCTTTCCCTCCTTATTCCTTTTATCATTTTATTAAAGAGACCTAGTCTTATTTGTTAAAGACCTCCTGCAACCTAAAGTTTGCAAACAAGTTTTAATAGGAGCTATTGCATTAATTTGGTAGTCCACTGTTTATATTCTTTGTCTATACCATCTTTAACTAAACGTTACCAAAGTCTAAGTCTGAAATTAATCAATTTCCATGAAACTGCCTTAGCAATAAAATTGTCAACATTTTAACTTATAAAATTATGTATGATCATGGATACAATCTAGTTAATTGCTCTTTAATTACAGAGATACTTTGGATTGGAGAGTGATCTGTAACGTTGAATGTCAAATATGACAAGCATTAGCAAGAAAAATATGGTGAACAAGCGAAATTTTGATTAAATCTAGAATGGCATTCATTGCAGAAAATTATTTCCTGTCTTGTACATATGTATTAGAGTTGGTTAGACCCCTTTCTCAGTTATGGCTAAGTAATGTGTGTTTTGTATCATTTCCAACTTATTTTTACTGTAGATCAATTTTGTAAAACAATATATTTTCAAAATATGCTGGAAACCTGACATTCCAATTTTGGGTGCATTTCATTCAATTTTAGAAGTAAATGAATGGTTTGACTGCATTATCTAGTTGTCACACTTAAGACATTCTGCTGTGGAAATGAAAGATGCAGGTTTGCAGAGGTTTGTCTTACATTCTTCTTAGGAACATAAAGATCTAAATGAGACAAAGCCATTAGATCTTTGTACTTTGCAGTAGCTTATTGATCCGGCGACGTCAATTAGCCATTCATTGAAGGCGCTCAGGGACTTGGGAACATTCATGAAACAGTTGTATAAATGTGAAAGTTGGTTTAACATGGTATAGCATTAATGGGGTCTGTTATTTTATGATGTTCAGCTGGTTAACATTACCTGTATGCCTACTACTATTACTAGAATATCTTTGTTCATGTGCATATTTTCTGTTTTGAGTATGTATCCTAGCAGGACAAAAAAAACCCTGAAGGAATTGCAATAGTTGCACATGTTTATACAATATTCACTGATCTAGATTTCAATAACAGCAAATTTGTTGTGCTCATGAATAAATATACCTAAGTTCACAAGGGCAATGCATATTCTGTACATTTTTCACTGAGTATTTTGTCTGTTGTATGTCAATATCTTAATTTACAATGCAGACCTTTATCTTGACACAAAGGTTATGAGTTTTGAGGTAATTGCATTGTCTCATGTCAGATTTTTACCTTTTGATGGGCTTGTCTGATGCAGGGAGCTGAAAAGCCTCTTAGTGTTGTTTTATGCTGTCTGTTCAAGTTATACAGCATATGGCTAATGAAGCTGTCTGCAACATGAAACCTGCTCATGTCCCGACTGACAGCTACAAGCCAGCTGTGTGTGGTATGGGCTCTCTGTTTTGGGTCTTAATTGAGCAGCTTTTTCAAAAGTTTTTAATCACTAATTAAAAAAACACCTCCTGTTACAATATACCTTTTACCCAAAGCTTGATATGTTTGCTTCATGCGCGTCATGCGTGTCAGCGATTAGTGTTATTATATTTTTATCAGGCTTCTTCACCAGGTGGTGATTATCTTTTTTTGATATTCAAAATGTTTTTTTAAACCTGAATATCGAGCCACATTCTTCTATTCTCTATGCCTCCCATTCACATTCTAAATGAAAAGCTTTTGTGTTAGTGTAATATTTCTCATGTTGTTTCCATTTTATTACATTTGCATACTCTGTAAAATGAGAGAACATACAAAAATATTCATCGCGTGCCGTTGCCCAACCTACACCCTTTTAATATAGCTTTGCTGTGCCTTAATGCTCTAGAGTCTGATGTAATAAACTTGCAAGAAGCTTGTGCAACAGTGCAGAAAATAAAATTGTATCCTCTTAAAAGTAGAATGGTATCTTTAAAACATTGACTATGTATGGTGGATGAAGTTTGGTGCTTTTGAACTCTTGTTCAATATTCCGGGGTTGAATGGTGGTGTTAGAGGGAATGGCACTGTTCTCTCGCATAGCCCTGGCTGTTTTTTCTGACTCTCTCGCAGTCTGTTTTGGAAAATTCGTTTTCGGCTGGTGATGGGTCAGTCTCAGTGATGAGCGCTTTCTAGAACCCTTTAATTCCTGACTGATTTTTCTGAAGGACAGACATTGTTGCAGTGTTCAGACGTGCCTCAAATCCATGGCTTTGTGTCTTCCTCGCCTTGTTAGTCTCCTATTATTTTAGATTCTTTTATGTTAACTCCTTTAAGTAGTGACAACTGTTCTTGTGATATGGTTTTGTAACATATACTGTACATACTGTAGCGACAACGCATCTAAAAGAGGATTTGTTAAAGTTCCATAAAAACAAGTTAGCCACCTTCTACTTCATTATCCTTCTTTTTTTTCATTTTTTTACAATTGCCCTTAATACGGACTCCGCCACCAGGCATTATAAAGCATCCAGCAGCTTCTTAAAGACAATTACTAACATGAATTTGCTGAAGACTAGCTGAAGGCAGTAACAAAAGCCTAGGCTGAGTGAAGACTTCTGAAGGATGGACCTTGGTAATACAGGTCTTTGCGCTGGGAATTCTTCCTCAGTTTTGGTAATTGCTCGAGGGCTTGTGTTGATGTGACCCTTGACGCCTCCCTTTTCTCACTGCCAGTGTCTTCAGGCAGCTGCAGACTTCATAGACGATCTTTGTTTTGCTGCAACTGCAGATAATGCTGTTTTCATCCTCTAGGATGTTCTGTTTCCCAGGCTTCATTTAATTCCTGCATTATTAGATGTTGCAAACAAGCTGTTTTGTAAGACTCAGCTATAAATTCACTTTATTATGATACAAAAGTTCCCAGTTTCAATTTAAGGGGCAGCTTACATTAATCAGTGCACTACTGATGAAGAGTGGGGACTCCTGGATTATAGTGTAGCATAACCTTCATTTACGTGTTCAGTTATACATTGACCTCACAGCACTGACACCCAATAAACTCCCTCTACAGCAACCAGAAATAACATTTATACAATTTTGTTTGGCCATTGAGTTTCTGAGGTTATGCATTTCTTATTAAAAATTAGGCTGTGAGCACAAGTGCAGCTTTTAAGCATTACATTTGTACCAGTCTTTTATTATTTAATGAGCAGTTAGAGTGGCTTGAATGTTCAAAGAGGCCTGGACCCAGTTTGGATTCCTTTCAATCCTGACAATATCTCTCGGTAATAACTCTGATAATGATTTACTTTTCTGATGTCCACAAAATGTTGCAAGATTGAAATGCAACCAGTACTTAGAATTCCTGACCTTGCTGTTCTTGGATCAGTTGTAAGTTTGGATTTGTACATTAGGGGTTTCCTCCCTCCACCTTACATCACTGCTGTTGAACATAGAAATTAGATTAGAATGGTCATCACAACAGACAAGGTATGGTAGACATAAGACACTCCAGATCTATAAAACTAAAAAATCTAGATGAATTATTCTTGCCTTTGGTATTTGAATAGGAAACTATATTCTTGCTGTGCTGTTTTCAGAAAGTTACAGTTTTATATCAGTGAATTCTAAGTCCAGAAATACACCGTGGCATCCTTGTCACCTGTCGGTTACAATGCAGGATGTGTTGTCTCAATGACACTTTGCTATATAATCTTGCATCTTGATAAAAAAATGTCTCCAATCAAGCCTCTGCATTTAGGCTCAGATTCAGGCAATGTGTTTGATTTTTGCTTTTATTTTGTACACCTTACAAATTGGCTTGTGTGAAATCAATGTATGTTGGAAAAAACTTTTTTTATTTCAAATTTTTTCAGCTCCTGACAGTTGTCGGTTCCATAATTCACACGGTTGGCATCAGTGTTCTAAAGCTCTGGGTAGTATGCAGTGGTGGTATTGTGGGAGATCTTGGGGGGATGTGCTGCAGAAGAAGGGCAATCCTTTGGTATTGATTGATAGAATACAGACCTGACGAGCTTTGCTGTGAGGGGCTCTGACCCATAATGCAGGCAATTTGTAGTGTGGTATGCAGTTTTCTCCACAATGAAGAAATCATCTGAGGATTGCACTAAACTTAACCAGATATCGAAGACAAAGCAGAATTAGGTACATTTATCATTGTCATTTATATAATCATTTAATTGCATTTTGGTCATATACCTTTACTGTAATTTCATGTGGGGAACATACTGTACTGTTAAAATGTCTAGTTTGAATTTTTGCCAAAAGCAGTTGAATAATTCTAGATTTGATTTAGAAAAAATAATCTAGATATCCTTATTCACAACATAGCATATTTTCCAATTACATAGACTTTTCTGATTTAATTGTCCTTATTGTTATATCCAATAACTCAAATATTTTGCCAGCTTTTAATTCTGTTTATAATTCATCTGTAGTATAAGTACATCAAGTATTAAAACATAGCAAAATGTTTTTAACTTCACAGGATAAATACAGATCAGATTTGGAAATGGATGGCAAATTAATGGATCTGGTCAGTGTTGAATTTTCCTTGTTGTTTGTCCAGATAGGTTGGTGGCAGGCTAGGCAAGTGCTGTATAAACACTGCTGGAAAAGCAGGCCTCATACAACATGGCAATTTGGACAATTTTACTGGCTTAGCTCTCTTGCACATCCTGCTTTTTCATTTGCGAATCATTCAGAGATGTAGCATTCTTATTCTTGATGGTCTAGAACCTGCAGCTAGGTGCCTCATTTCTTTTCATTCTCTTGCTGAATTATCGCTGCCATCTATATTCCATTATGGGAGGCAGAGATAATGGTATACAATGAGTATACCATGTGATGATTGTGCATACAGATCAGTAGGATCTGTGACTTTTCCTGCAGCAGGTGATAACCACTTTTTTTGTGATGAAGTTCCTCTTATATTTTTCTGATTGTTCATGTACTGTAGATCAGGTATTTAAAAGATTGCCATATCAAGCCAACACAACTGCATACACTTATGCATTATAGTAAAACACATATAGTAAATTGCACCACTTAAGACTGAATTCATAGGGACTTGCCTTTGTACTGTAGCAGTTTGCAGTGGTGTATGACTAAGACTGAGCTCTGAACTATAGGATACTCACGGGCGAATCTGTTTGCTGTGTGAGTTAATCACATTGGTGTTTGGAGTGGAAAACCCATTACCATCCAGCTGTGGCTTTCAATAAAGGATAGCTTTTTTGGGGAATAACATTTGCGGGTGAACAGACATGCACATCATTAGCAGTCATTGCTTACTGCCCATACTGTGAAGGAGCAAGGCTGTATTCCCGTGTGTTCTTCCTGACGCTGTGCCACTGAGTACTGGATTCACCTTGATGAGTGAAAACAGGCTACATCACATAACTTACCTTTTATCTAAATTTGCTCTGGAAACACAATACTGTGGTAAACACGCTGGCTAGGTTGTTTTTTCTCAGACCTAGAGATCAGATGAATCAATGGTTCTTTGTAATTTAAGTAATTTCCTACAAATTCTACTTATAGAAGAAAGTATCTACAGGAATATTTTCTTAAATATATACAGTAGGTGGATTTCTACATCTAATATTTATTATAATATTTTAATGTTTCCAAAGCAGTTTGTTTACTTTTTTTAGAACAGTTTCCGAATTAATCAAGTTCACTTGTTTTACCATCCAGAAAGGTCTGAGAATCGGATATCACACCTAACTTCGTAGTTCTCACCCCCCATGTTTAGATGTAGGAATTATTTATTTTTAACTTTAAATTTTACTGGTTGGTAACAATAGGAAAATTGGGCATTTGTTCAAGAACAAGAAGCAAACGGATCTGGAATAATTGGTGCCCTGTCTCAAAAGAACCCTCAGTCCATGAACCACATATTTAAAAAATGTCAAAGTACCAGTATGGTATAGAAATCACCATGAACTGCATGCCACAAAACAGTGTGCATGATAGAGTCCTCTATAAGAAATGAGGATTCATTTTCAAAAGTCAGCTGTGAGGCCAGGATGCTGAAGGAATTCAAAAATAGATCATGCCAGAAAAGAAATTTCATTGTTTCTGTGATGTGGGCAATAGCTGGTGCTGTTTGGCTTGAACTGAAGTGTGATTCAGAGACCAAAGATGTTGGAACTATGGGCATGCTTGTTTTTTGTGAACTGTAGTAACCTGTATATTGTCTTGAAGAATGTCAAACATGAACCCCATGACTGTGCCCAGTTCTTTTTCTACTGGGCCTCAGTTGTCAGGAGAGAAAATAGCATGTAGTTTTGTAGTATTCTGTACATGGATTTTTTTAAGCATGCTGTTTGGCTGGCGTAATTGATATCCCAGTTATTGGTTTATCAGGTTTTATTTGTTATTAAATTAAAATGTATTATTATTATTATTATACTGTAAGTTTCAGCAGTCTATGGTGATTACCCAGAAGTAGTTATATGTACTTACTGAATGATTTCAAATATATATATAAATTAGATGTATATGTATTTTAAAGCATGAATTCCAAATGTTTTGTGCCATGTTAATTTTATCATAAATTCTTTAATTTGACTTAAAAACAGTAGAAAATACACAATATTGCACGTAATAAATCAATTGCACTTCCTTAAGGTACAGATAAACGTCTATGTCTCTCTTGCTACAATAAAACTATTTGAAATTTAATTCCTCATGTACAAGATTTAGAGGTTTTTTTTATTAAATACAGTCAACAGATAGCCTTTTTGATTATCAAGGGCATGAGAATGACTTTGGAACCAGCGATTGAGTATGTAACAGTTTTATGATCAGTAGTACAGCTTCCCTTTGATGCAAACTGTACTCATTACCAATGGGAAGTTGTGACACTTCCTATTGGTAATAACTCAGAAATTTTTGAAAATACCTTTATGCCCAATGAAAAGCTTTGGCACAGATGTCTTTCGGGAATTTTGTTTTTTTTGGCTTTTATTAGTTGCTTGGAAGGTTTTAATTGCAAGCTTGTTGACCTCTAACATTGCCATAAAATATAGGCCATTAGAACACCTCTTGATAACTTTTCATCCTCTTATATTCCAAAACATACAGATGTAGCCTTATGAAATACAGTACTTGTTAAATGTGTATTTCTTCATTGTTTTTTGCATTTAACATTTTAGTATTGAGATTAAAATGCTTGTCCATCTTTTTGACATAATTCTCAGAAATTAGGGTTAAAAGGCTAGCTTTACAGTCATTACATTGCTGTGTAATGCTTTTTTTGGTGTGGCAGACTGATGGTGTTAAAAAAAACGTATATGATTCTTATCACTGTTGAAGCTGTGTATTTATACTATATAAATAGCAACATTCAGTAGAACTGAATGTACTGTAGCTGCTGTATAGGAAGCAATCATATAGTATCAAAATCACTGATCATATCAATTTGTGAATGTTGATGTTAGCTACAGAACATCTTGAATTATATAGGATGGGTTTAATAATATTGATTAAAGACTGTGTTGTGTTCAATGTGAAAGATGTAATCTACATGGTACTGTGCTAGTGCTTTTTTTAATTCTTTAATTAAATGTCATAGCATGGCTTTAGCCTGTCTGTGAGTGAGAAGCAATCACTTTTAATCACTTGGCATGAACCTGATTCTTTTTAGAAGTGTCAAAAATAATAAAGCTTCTTTTTGTTCTTATTTAATCTTTACCTGCCACTCGGAACTTTCACTGAAAAGGTCTCACTTGGTCTTTATAATAAAATACGGTGCAGTTTACAAATTCCTGATCCTTTTCACCGCAGAAAAACTAATTAATTTTATTTAGTTAGTGAGCTTAAAGTTTATATATCTATTTCTATATATGTTTTAAAAAATTACATTGAGATGCTAACTTAACAAGTATATAAAAATAACTGTAATTTTATTATTTTGTAGTATATTACAATTAGGGACTGCAAAGGTACAGTATAAAGCTTTGAGATGTTTTTAACGGTTTGACTGGATTAGACACGTGCCTGTTTTCCTGGATTTTGACCCTGTCAGCACTCGGTGATTGAAGTGTCTCCACCTTGGGAAATTCACTCTGCTTCCCATTTCAATGAAGAGCAGTAACTGTTTCTTAATAAACTTTTTTTGGCACATGTTCCTAAATTAAAACATTGAACTTAATGCTAATTATAATCAGTTAACCTCCTCCTTTTACACAAAAAGGAATTGAACCAACATATCCTAACATTAGAGAAAAAAAACTTGTGCTTTGCCCAGATTCTGATATGCTGTAGAAGCAATCTCATTCATGGTTTCTCAAGAAACAAGTTGTCCACACAGTCTTGATGGTTTCCATTTTTGTGGATCAAGAGAATGGATGGGGAGGTGTAAATGCAAAGGCGCTGGCTTGTCATTCTAAAGTGTAACTGTAACAGTTGCTTAACTAATAAACCAAAATTTCCCTCCGCAAACTTGAACAGAAAAATAAATAAACAGAAAATAATAAATCCAGTCTTGCTTCTCACCTTGCTGATCTGCAAATAAGTAGGCTTGGTGTAATTTCACGCCTTGCTCCTGGAAATTAGTTATAAGTTTGAATCCTTTTTTGGTAAACGTGACAAAACTTAAATGGTATGCAGGTTATTTACTACTTTTCAAACTGGGATCATGAACCTTTGCTTAATTCCAGCACTGCATCCATTATCCAGGGAAAGAGATGACTGGTATCCGTGTACAGGAGTAGAAGGCAGGCCATCGGATTTGAAGAAAAAAAATCATAGAAACCAGAGTTTCCATCTTGCATGCTTCTTTGACTCTGTTTTAGACTTCCTCTTGGGTGTTGAAGTATATCCCTCCTGGGGGTAAGGCAGAGATGGAACCTGAGTGTCCTCAGTGGGACACAGCCTTTTCAACAGGGGCTGCAGTTTGTCCTCTTGTTGCTTGAAGTCGAGCTCGACACTGCAAGACAACACCAAAAAAATGTAAACCATTTTATTTGTTCTTTTTTTCGGGTGGACTCAGTACATAGCTACATTGTATTTCTCAGTAGACTATGAGAAAATCACACCCGTCAGACTTTTTGAATTGTTGAAGTTTAGAGAAGTCAAAGATTACAAATAATGAGGGTTATGAAAATTAAAAATGACAAATCTCTGATAATTTGGGGATGGTTAAACATTGTAGGCTACTTTATGTAATGTCATACAGTACATTGAAAAGGGCAGTTTGTACTTATATAAAAATTGTAAAGAAAAAATAAATTCTATTTCAATACATAATTTGTTAGCTCTAAAAGAAGGAATACCTTTCGAACTAGTTTATTTTATCTCAAGGGGATTGTTGGTGTGTTTCATTCCTAAGCATATAAGATCCACTTATAGCTGGAAGGATCCTTCAAAGTTTATGAAATAAGAACCTGGAACATACTGAACAAAACTCTTAACCAATTTTGATAAGTATCAAACAAATAGGATTGCTTACAATGTAAATGAGCAGACCCCTTGCCTAAATAAAAGTCAAACAAAGTCTGATGTCAGGTTATAAGATTTTTAATTTTGTTTTCCATTTAGGAAATGGATTGTATTTCTGTTGGTTACTAGGTTTATGAATAATAAAAAAAATAAAGTATATACTGTACACTTTAAAAACCCCACTTTTACATTTGCAGTATTTCCTCAGTGAAAGAAAACATAGCCCTTCAACCCAACGAATATTTGATGCAATTAGTTATTATTTTTTTAATGTGTTTTAAACTTACAGTATAAAACATTAAACGGTGTCTTAGAATGCTTGCTCACTGCCTTTTGTTTCATACAGACATTAGTTACTCAACCCTATCAGCAGTTTTTCTGTCTGTATTTAGACTGGTTAATTTTTCTTGGTTGCTTTTCAAAAAACATTGTGATCTCATGCATCTTGTTGGATACACGGTTATCTTAGGTGTTCATTTGGCTATAGCGATTCAAGATGATTTTGATTATCTACGTGGAATGTGTATGTACTTTAGTGTGAAGTCCATATGAAGCCCTGTAAGTCTCATTCAAAGTTGAATATGTCACTGAAATTCCTGCCAAATCACTTTCCTTTAATTCAATAAAGCCAGCGCTTTTAATCCGTTGTTCATTCAGACAGGGTCAGTGTGAATAAGTGTGGGTGGGGGGTCTGATGTTGACCAGAGAACTATTAACATTAAATGACAACATTGTTTCTCTGAGGGATTAATAGTGTACATTCTGAATCTGCTGCTTCCAGCTCTTCTTGGATTTCATCCCAGAATCTTGGAGCCTTGTATTTGTTAAATATTAATTATTTGTTTTTAATCAACTAAATCAAAACACTGATGTTATTACCCAGAACTGTTATACCCACTAGTGACTTCTTATGGACATTAAAGCTGTTCAGTAAAATGGTATGAACAAAGGACCCTTAGGATTCATTTTAAATTTGTGTGCTATTTAACAATTAATGTTCCTTTTTTAACTGTTTCTCCATCATCTATAAGCACTCACAGACACATTAGGCAATTCCCGCATGTTCCAATGCAGGATAAATTGGCTTTGAAACCATACATAGGCTGCCAAAATTGTACACAATACAATTCTATACATAAAACAACACTGGCCATAGAGACACTATTTCGGGTCACAGCATCATCAGAAAGTAAGAGAATCTTGCTTGTCCATTTCTGTTTCTGTATGTAAGCTACATGGGATTCACGTGAATCCCCATCGCCTCCACAGAATGATAAACAATGTAATTTTGTCCATTTTTCCTAACAAAATTGCTCCCATTTTGACAAGTTTGTCTGGAATAGTTGATGGACTATACAGTATTTGTTAAGCCTGACTACAGTATAATTTTCAAAAGGGTGCATGACTGTGGCCATTCAAGGACATTTACTCTGTTCTTGTAATATACTGTGGTTATGGTCTTGAAATAAAGCTCTGTTTTTCTGTAGTAAGAAATTTCAAACCAGTTTTACATTCTTGGGTGGCTCACACAAGTTTTTCTCTTTGCTGGTACTTTGCACCCTCTTTCTTTGATAAGTTTTCCAGTCCCTACTGATGAGAAGTATCCCTGTAACAACATCCCATACTCGACTGCTGGTGTAGTGCTAACTGACGAATGTGTTCTTTGCAAAGCAATTACATCTAGCGCAAGATGTTTAAAGCAAGTTTAGTTTAGGTATCCTTTTACCATATTACCTTCTGCCAAATGCCTGCAGTGCTGTATATCTCGTATAAGATTTAAAAGCCATTTTGAGTGAAGGCTTCTTTTCTGCCACTCATCCGTATGGGCCAATTTTGTGTTGGAACAGGGGTATTGTCAATGTATGAAAATTGATTTCGATCTTGGATTCCAAATCTTTAAATCACTATTGGCTTGAAAGTGGCATCCATAACTAGTTTCCTGCTTGCTGCAAAGCCTGCTCAGTCTGGATGGGCAGTCTGATCAATGTAGGATCTGTGTTATGTTGCAGATCCACTAATAGTCCTAACTTTATTCAAAGAGATGCATAATCTGCTGATCTGTGCCTCTCTAACACCTTATTCCCCAGTTTGTTTCAACAGCTCCTTGATTGTCAGTGTCAGTTTGTCATATTTTGACATGAGCTGTGGTTTCAAATTAATGTCAAGGATCTACACAGAGAACATTACACTAATTTTGTAAACTACTCCTTCACACCTGAAGTGATTTAGGGTTGCTTTAGCAAAGTTTTGCAACTAAGAAGGTTTTTTTGAAAAATCAAATTTATGAACTTAGTGTCAACATTTTTGCGTCTTATTAGTTGGAGTAGTTGCATAGCTTCTAAATGTAAGTCCTGTTTTAAGTGTCATGACTGCAAGCTCAGACAACAAAATGTGGAAACTGCAGAGCAGTTTACTTGTGCAACTGTTTCAGTTGCTTTTGTGTTTTTAAAGCTTGATAATTATGTAGAATACTGAATCTGCAGAACAAAAAGTGTTCTAATATTGTGCATTGCTGAACCTGCAAAAGTACTGTAGATCTTTTTTCTGTCTGCCCTGAAATCTTTTTTTTTTCCCAGTTAGGAGTGCTGAAAGTACTACACTTGTCTATGAAATATATTTTTGTAGTATTATTTTATTGCTATATTACATCTTCTAAAGTGCTTCACTTCCTGAACTCCATTGTCCAAATAAACACAACACGAAAGATAGGAAAGAAAACAGTATCTAAACTGGTGAAAATTAATCTGCCTTAATGGCCATCATTGGTAGTCTGTGTGTTACACTTGGGAATCAGCAAAATTCTAAAGTATTTCTAAAGTATTATTTAAAGAAGTATAAGTGTACAGTTGAAGTTTTCAATGGAGATGAATTAAAACATTAGTGACCGATCTCAGCAGTCTTGTAGCTGTGACTTCGTTAATGCTAATATGATTTAAGGACAAATTTTGTGTATATTCAAACAAATATTTTGGAATGTGATTGTGTGAATATGTTTATAGTACCTGAAGCTACTGTACAGGAGCGTTACTGTCTATAGATAATGCTGTTGTATAATAGAATTTAAATGCATGGTCTTGAAACAAACATTTATAATGTCCTGAATGCCCTTTCTTGCACAAGAAAATCGGTGCATTTCTCATTAAACATGGTTGAAAAGCTAGCAAGGACAGGCATTAGATTACCAAACGTGCTTTGCAATTATTGTTGTAGAAGGTCCTGCATAGTTATCCTTATTATAAAAATAAAGGCAATTTTCTCTTTCAGATTGATAGTGACTTCTAACATTTTTCAAAGCATAGTGTATTGCAGCTCTTAAAATCAACTCTTTTAAAAAAAGCACAACACAATGCAGGCAGTTATTAAAGAATTAATCACTCTACAGAACCATGTAATTATGCTGTAATCTAATTCAGAATCTTGTTAGTGAAAGGCCTAACTGCATCTGGGTGAGGAGGGGAAAAATCTGAGACAATCTTGTTGAAAAATCTGGTCAATTTCTCTGTGGCACTTTGATAGTGTTATGTTTAAGAAAACTCTTTTCTCGGGTAACATTTTAAGAAATTTACAGTGTGTGATTGCCAGCCTTACCTAAACAATTGATTCTTGATGGGCATTGTTGAGTGTTTGACCACTTCACCTTCACACAGGAAAATAGCTGGTGTAAGCGATCTCTGTGCCTTTTATGTCTCTTTTAATTTATTTCAAGTGCTTCTTCTTTGGTATTGCGCTATTCCTGAGCATATACAATATGTTTGGGCTGTGGAGCCTTCTTCGGGTTTCATAACTGAAAAGTTGTGTTCCTTTTCTTCTCTTTTCAGCATGGAATGAACTTGTTCCTTTGTAGCCTACGCATGTTGACACAGCTACCACAGCTACCAGCTACCTACTTGAAGTATATATACAATATGTTGTTTTTTCTGCCATCAGAGCTTAACCACACAAATCACACTAATTGCACTAATTTCTTTTGTGATTAACTATGCACGATCTCTCTAGGGAGGCCAACAAGGTTCAATCAATGTGCTAATCCTATTGTTCAAATGGGCAGCCCTTCCTGATTCTATGTATATCCATATGATACCTGTGATATCTGTGTATATCCATGTCTCAATCAGCATAATGCCCTACCAAGCCAAGACTATCGCTGAAAAGCACAGGATAACAACAAAGGATCAATACGCTAAGTTAAGGCACGTATTGGTAAATAAGCAGTAACTACACAGTTAATTTTTATCTCCAAATTGTGTTTACCATTGAGACATCTTTACTAATACGGCAATATGTAGCCCTTCTGGTTAAACTTAAAATAAAACCCTTATTTGAAAAAGGTTGGATGTGTACATAATTCACATATCAAGCATGTAATCATAAAAAATTGCAGCATGTTGGCCTGTAATTACAGTAACTAAAAGCTTATAATTGACATTCTGCTTCAGTAGATGACACAATTATGCCAAACTGTTGTATTGATTTTATATAATTTCCATC